TTTAAAAATCATCTATATTAATTATTATATGATATCGTAGGATCTAGTATCGGGATACTATGACATTTTATGTAGGATCATGTAAAGTCTTTATGTAGTATCGAGATATAAAATTTAAAAGACTAGATAGAATCGATATCATTTTGATTTATATTAGTAGTATTCCAAAATTCTAGTTGTAGATACTAATCGGGACACTGATAACTTTGATCGTTTGATAGATTAAATTTATGGCAAAGTGTCAACGCCCCGATGACAGTGTTTCCTTGCTACCACTACCAGCCTACCACCACGTGCACGTCCTCACTTTGCTGATGCCGCCAGCCATAGCATGCGTACTTCTTCTACTTGGCTGGAGATGGGGGAGTCCACGGTACAGAAATCGTTGAAACCAAGTAAAGTAAACCATGCATAGTACGTGTCTGAAACCATAAAAAGGGTACCCTAAGCAAGAACCGAAAAGATTGCTTAGACCTTGCAAATATTAAAGCCGAAGGACAACCACGAGGCCTCGGCCGATTCTCTGATTCGCCCGAGGCCCACGCCACAAAGGCCTCGGACGAAAAGCCAACTCTCCGCCTCGCCGAGGCCCTGCCCCGCAAGGCCTCGGACGGGTTACCGGTTCTCCGATTCGTCCGAGGCCCCGCGCATAAAGCCTCAGACGAAGTACCGATTCTCCGACTCGCTCGAGGCCGGCTCGGCAACAATCTCGTCGCCTCCATCTCGACCGACTTCTCTGACAAAACGTCACGTCCAATTAACGCGTCCAACCACTCCCTTAACGTCGGCCCGCACGCGTCGGCGCAGATGATAACGAGTAGCCGACGGAGACGGGAGATGATCGGGCGGGGTTACCGCCCTTCGCGCTTCGACATCGTGCCCATAATCGACGCTCAGATTGCAGTGTCTTTGCCTAACTCCTGCTCCAGGAACAACGCGGCGTGGGGAGTCAAGTCCGGGTCACTATAGCCTCGAAATCAGTGTATAGGACCAACTGCTCCCTCCAAGCCTCGGCAATCCACTTCAGGGTCTCGGCAGCCTCGGGATTCACGCCCGCCGAGCCCCCCACGATGGCTCGGCCTCGGCACCAACTGAGCCTCGGCTTTTACATTTATCAACGCCTGACGGCGACCAAGACGCGTCGTCGGCCATGCCTCGCGCGCCAAGCTATCACTGGAGCTCCCACGTCACACAAGATCGGGTGTGACCGGCGCGCTGCTCCAGTGCATCAAGGACAAGACCGCTCCGTTGACCATGCCGCCACAGTAGTAAGCCACAGGGCTCAGACATGCCACCTCCGCTCACAAGACGCCGCATAGCAAACACATGTATCACTCCTGTCTCCCCTTCAACTATAAAAGGAGAGACTGGGGCTGTTCCTAGACAGAGGAAGACAGACGAACTCACGCATAGGCTCACGTGAGATCGCACACACACGCTCCCCACGCCTCGAAGCAACGTCTCAAGCAACCCACACACTCCCCCATGCAGAGACACGGACTAGCTCCTCTCTCTCTGCCAAATTTTGTAACCCCTACTATAAGTACTTCACTTGCAAGGAATACAAGACCGCTATCTCAGACTGGACGTAGGGCACCCATTACCCGAACCAGTATAAACCTTGTGTCTTCTTGCATCACCATCCGGGATAGGGACACGCAGTACAAATTTACTAGTTGGTTGAGGACCCCGGTCAAAACACCGACAACGTAATACTACTATCGGTTTTTTTTTTATTTCGGTATTAATTCTTTTTCTCAACTACGAAACCACCTCCAAAATTACCAAACTTTTTTTAAAGACAAACATGAAGTATGTTTTTTTCTCTAAAATTTATAGATCTAAACAAAATAATAACATGGTTTATAACTACATATCTATCGAGTAGAAGAATATGCAATACAAAAAATATAAAATATGCTCTTGTACTCGACAAAAAAAAACACGTGACTCTTGAGTTACATAGCGCATAATACAAAATTTCAGAATTTTCTTTCAACCACCTCTAAAATTCATGCAATTTTGGCAAATTTGCGAGATTTGAAACCCTGAGAGCGGCCTAGTGGAGTACAGGAACAAGGAATAGTATTCCCTTTAGTCAACAAGAAGCGAGCGAGACGTCGACTGGTGTGGCCAAGAGCCAAATTTGTATGACCAATTCCAGAAGCACGCTCACTCCTGCTTGGTTCCTTGCAACGGTGTGCATGCTTTGACGCAAATTACCGTATGATTCACGTGAAATTGCTGTCGTGTTGCATCTCATGAGTACTTTCAAAGGGACGCTAAGAAATGTCGAGCCCACCAGGTTATGGCCGGCCGTCTGTTCCTTTTACTTGGCATCTGGGATGGCGGCAGCCGTGAGATCCGCACATGGCCGTGTTCGGAAGCCCGGCCGGCTTGTCCGCTCGTTCCATTTGTCCACTGTGAGTACTATACTGTACAAGCGACAACACAACAGCTTCTTTCGCCAGCCACTGGTAGGCAGGGGCGGATCCAACGGACCGGAGCAGTGGAGCCCCATGAATTGCCACTGCTAGGCAGGGGCGGATCCAACGGTGGAGCCGTGTGGAGCTCCATGAATTTTTAGACAAAATTCTTATAGGTGGGTCTGAAACTTAAGATCGAGCAGCAATCAAAGACATGTATCGTTCAGCCCCCTAAAATTATTCCTGGATCGGCTGCTGGTAGGAACGGAGGAGTGGAGTAGAGGATTGCAACCACCACCGAGATGAAAGCGTCTCAAGGATCTGGAACGTTTTGGATGCTGCCACTCACACTCGCATCACATGGAGATCCGACAACTAAGGAACCGATACATAAATAGAGGTCATTTTTTTGCCTTAACATAAGATCTCTGTCTCAGGCCACCAACAACTACATTTGTTTGTTCGTACCAATAATGCCCTATCATATACTACAACTCCTGACCTGAGAGAACAAGGTGCAGTGATTGAGTGTAGGTGGCATATGAATCGTCCAACTCATCAATGGAATGGATTTTAGGAGCGAGGAACCATAAAAGATCGAGTACCGCATTGGCATTGTAGCTAAGAATACTACTGTAGTATAAAATAGAGCACTCTCCAAAATATATATATATATAGTACACGATGATGTTTATACAAAAATGTATATTCGATCCATCTCCGTATATGAATGATGAATATGAATATATATGCGTGCGTGTATATCCTCCAATTAATTATTCCTTGTCGTCACCAAAGAATCAACTCCGAATGAATGGGATATGATCAAAGTGTTACTAGGGTAGCTACTCTACTAACGGTGCAAATGTGTGTAGGCAGGACGCATGTCCCGATCGGATCCGATCAGCGGCAGATGAGCTCCCTCCGGATCAGACGAGCTCGAGGCGCGCGGCGTAGTCGGCGTACCTGGCGCGGCGGATGTTGGCGCGGCGCTTCCGCCAGACGAAGACGCCGAGCCCGAGGACGGCGGCGGCGGCGAAGGTGCCCAGCACCACGCCGGCCTTACTGCCGCCGTTCATCTCCCGATGCTCCTCCAGCTCTCCGCTACCGATGCTGGCGGCGGTGACGTTCGCCGCCTTGATCTGGTCGGCGGCCGGGGCCGGCGAGGGGGACTTGTTGTCGTCGCCCTTGTATTCGTCGGCGGCGGGCGCGAGGTGGGTGTGGGACGGCGCGTGCGCGGGGGCGGGCGAGTCGGAGGAGGGGGCTGCCACGGGGGAGGTCTTGGGCGGAGCGGGCGGCGGCGGCGAGGGCGCGTCTGCTGCGGCGGATGGGGCGGAGGCGGTAGGTGGGTTGGAGATTGGCGAGTGCGCGAGCTGGGAGTCGGCGGCGAGAGGCGCGGATGCGGGGGGCTCGGCGGTGGGGCTCGGCGCCTCCTCCTGGGACCGCGCCGTGGAAGCGAGGAGGAGCAGGAGCAGGGCGGCGAGGGCGCGGGGCAATGCCGGCGTCGCCATGGATGGAGAAGAAGGCAGGCAGGAGCGGAGGGCGGCGCAGATCTCGGCGAGGCTCGGCTCCGCTAGTGTGGGCTGGATGGTATGGGTTTGGTGGGGAGAGGTGAGGTGGCCAGGTTTTTATAATATAATGGAAGGAAGCAGAGCAGAGGAGCAGCAGCGGCGTGGAGTAGGGTCGGCTGCGTCGCGGCAGGAGGTGGGAAAGGTGAGTCAGAGCACGGAGGACGCCGTCGCACCAAGCAAACCATTTGCATTGCATCTCGCCCACCATGCATGCATTTGTTGATGCCTGCAAAGGCTGCAGCTCTAGTCAAGTTTGGGCAAGATTGTTACGACTCTAAACACAAGTCAAGTTCTGTTAGGAGCCTTCAGGTCCTACATACGAGTTTGGCGAAGACTGTTACGACCCCAACATCTTCCTACGACGACTCTAGAAGGATTGACTGCGTCCAACAATGACTGAGGTCAGCAGCCTATGATCTCGATTCATACGAGCACAGCGACCCCTTCCTCATATCAGTGCAGGACGGATCGGACAGGGCTCCCAGGCTCCCAACGACGGCCTAAACCTCTCCTTCAAATTACTCCCTGTACGGCCCAAGCCCAACTTGCCAGCTGTGGGCAGAGCAAATACGCAGTGCAAACTGACCTCTACTCATCATCAACTCATCAAATAGACAAAAGCAAGGGACGAATGCATGGCATCTACTACATCCAGTCTTATTCCAGTCCAAAATATGGTATAATGATGCTTGTAAATGATCAAACCAAGACAGGGCAGCCTCAACTGATAAGTACAACAATATGGTATCATGATGCTTGTAAATTATTCCAGTCCACAAATGCTTGGCAAATACAACCGTCACTACCCACACAGATCAAAATACATACCCAAAATGCTTCCAAAGGTTCGTCACAATTCTTTCTACTTGGGGTCATATGACCAGAGGCAAAACCTCCCCTTCTTGCTCCACCTCCACCCCACAAAGCAACAGCAAATTCCCCACAAGAATCACGTTCAGGGTTCTCCTCCTGCCTGCCTGCCTGCCTGCCTGGCGACTGACCGTCACTGCAAGGCCGCTGCAGCCTGCTTCTTCGGTTGCCCTCGCGCAGCTTTGCCTCTCCCTCCTTGGGCGGAAGCCTTATTATTGGTGTCCGCTGCTGCCGCCGATAATGCCTCGGCGCTGCTTTCAGTGAACGGGGAGTAGAGGAATTTCTTCGCGTTGCCCACATGCACGCAGGTCAGCTTCACGATATTTCTCCCCGTCATCCATTTCAGCAAGATCTTCATGTGAGTCTTGCTGTTCAGGCCAGCAATACCAGCGTCCTGTTGTAGAAAATACGCCAGAGTCAGTGTACAGCTCTTGACAACACAGCAGGTAACAGCTTATGATTGTCGGGTTCGAATACTATACATTCTTCTGCAGCTAAGCTAACATAAATCAGACCTTAGTGGGTAAGTCTAGTTCAGGTGAAAGCAGGTGCTAAACTGCAGTCAGGAATTTAAAAAGTGGAAAACTAATGTGTATATCAGCTCATATCATTCAGCCGAGCTGTGGTACTAGAGCTAAACAGTCACATATAGAAACTACAAAGCAACCCAAGCCTGTCAACGCTCATGGATCACCTAAGTCTGATAGATTAGGCACCTAATTCTACAGTCTAGTTCAGTTGAAAGCAGGTGCTAAACTGCAGTCAGGAAATTAAAACTAAAAAAGACATAGGCATGAGAGAGATGAACTAAACGAGTGCTAATGTACACAGGTGGCTCCAACTTAGCGACAAAAAATGGAAAACTAATGGGTATATCAGCTCATATCATTCAGCGGAGCTGTGGTACTGGAGCTAAACAGTCACATATAGAAACTACACAGCAACCCAAGCCTGTCAACACTCATGGATCACCTAATTCTGATAGATTAGTAGGTACCTAATTCTACAAACTATGATCACCAAATTCAAACACAGTGAACAAAGTAATCCCGATTTCAGTGTCCTTGCAATATGGTGGTATAGAGAAATGTACATATGATTACTGAGATGAAACAGATCACATGATCCCATTTAATTTCAAGTTCACAGAATAAAAATAACCACCCTTTTGTGGGGCAGAACAATATCCAAGCATGATGAGCTGCAGACATTTATATTGCGCATCAAACTGCTGCTTCAACCAAAGACTGAACAAGCCACAAAACTGTTGATCGGAATGACATGTTGCAATTGCAAAGGTCCGATAATAAAACTGTGCTTCAAACTACTCGGAGCTAGCTGAACTCAAACTAGCTGTTGGGATGGACAATGCTTGAATCCACAGGGGATGGCTCAATGCCCTGTCTAAGAACAGTAACGCTATCACGGTATGTATCTGGTTTTACTATATGCTTCCCTAAATGCGTAGCATACAACTACTGGTTCGGAAATGATGAACAAAGCAACAGGCTGCTCTGTTTTGTACGAGTAGTAGAATGAGTGTACACATTTGCCCACAGCTAGAGATTAGGTTATTATTACACATAGAGTGAGTGAAGTTTATATTAGGGCAGCAGCGTGTTTGTCCTTGTACCTTGGCGTGGTTCCAGGTGTTGCCGACGGTGAGGGGCCCATGGTCGGTGAGGATCTGGAGGAGGCACTCGGAGATGGCGACGGCCTCCTCCTTGGGCGCCTTGGGGTTGATCCGCCTCACGTCCACCGCCCGCTTCCTAGAGAAGTGACGCCGCAGCACCTCCCACGCCGTCCCCCCGAACCCACCGCCACCGCCGCCGCCTCGGAGGAACTGCATCCGCGCCGCCGCCGCCGCCGCCTGGGTCGCTGGGGTTCAGTTCAGGTTCAGCCTAAAGCCCTCCTCCTCATCCCCTGGAAATGGGCTACAGAAGAAAATGCTGTCCATTTGGGCCCAACAGGCCCAGCCCAACAACTGCTTCCTCGGGCTAGGCCAGCTGGTCCCTTCGCCCAGCCCTCATAGACTCGTCGTCGGCCGCTACCCTCCATCCAACCATCTCATCTCTCCCCGCCACGGCCGCGGCCGCCCGGCCGACCGCCGGCTCCGCTCCGGTGGTGACTGGCCCGCTGACCCCTGCCGCCGACTGAAGAGGAGCATCTCTACAGGTCAGCACCCCGCAGCCGCAGCCCCTCTTCCTTGTCAGGATGTCGAGTCCAGTTGCCTTGCCTAGCCCAGATGGCTGGCCGCCTCAGACCACCGTGAATTTTGAGGGGGGGGGGGCGGAACGATCTCAGGAGGATTGGGTTTTCTTCCGATTGTCCTATGTTACGTCGGCCGCGGACGGAACGTTTGATACATTGACGGATATTTTTTTTCTTCTAATTTTGCAGCGCAGATGCTTGGTCAGTAGCCGGCGGCGGCACATGTCAGCTCTCCCCTTGTGCGATGGAACTCCCAACTCGCCGTGCTGGTCGGATTGCTCTGGATCGAGGCTTGCTTCTGCGCCCCGTGTTGGGAGGGGAGCTGCCGTTTCCTGCCGCTGGGAGAAGCCGGGGACCCTCTGCTTGCTGAGGGCAAAATCTCCTTCCTTCCGCAGACACTCGAGGTTTGTTCGCGTAACTGAACCTGTCAGCAGCAACATGTGTAATGTGCTGATCCGTCAATGTGTCTGATGCATGTTTCAGCAGACACTGAGAGATCAGAGATGCATATGCTTAGAGCACTTCTTTTTTGGGCTGTAATAGCTTTTGAATGGGTGTCCTAGCAATCGGTCTCATCTTTCACTGGTGAAAAGCTATGCGATTCAAATACACCGTAGCACCGAACTCAGTTTCGAAGTCAAGCAGTATTACTCAGTCTAGAGAATGCATGTAAGCATGATGTATTCTGGTCTGGAACCAAATCTAAGTTCCAAAATGGGAATTCATTCTGTGCTTTGCTCTATGTTTGCACAATATATGCATCTTATTTTTCACATTAGTTTCTTCGTTTATTATATCTGTAGTTGTACACCTTCACTAGAAAGATTCAGAACTAGGCGATACTGGGTGTCTGCTTTCTGCATTTTGCAATTAGAGAATCCTAGTAAATGTGCAATCTCAGTCAGTTCACTGTTAATGGTTTGATTTGAACAGTGATCGTCCTCTCTTAACTAAGTGCTCTAATTTTCTTCTGTTATGTGTCTTCCCCTTCCATTCTTCCTTAATCAAAGCTGCTGCTGCCTTTGAACTTTGAAATGTGAATAAGAATTAAGACTTGTTTCATTTTTTTATATGTATAGGAAGGTGCAATGGGCCATCAGAACTATGTCAGACGACAGTGGTGACCAATCAGGCAATAGCACTCGCCTTTTCAGTGCAATTCGTTCATTTTGGAGCAAGCTTTCTGCCAAGCTGAAGAAAGCAAGGAAAGGGTTACCAGTGAAGATCCTATTCTTTCTGATTGGATTCTACTGCGCTACTGCATTCGCAACCGTCATTGGGCAAACGGGTGACTGGGATATATTGTCAGCCGGACTTGCTGTTGCCATTGTGGAGGTTATCGGCGCGCTGATGTACAGGGCTTCCTTTGCAGTTCTTGGTAGGATCAGGAACATGATTACCCAAGACGTACCTGCGGAATCCCAAACACACTGCGAAACACAGGTGAACACGATGATTTGGTGCCGCTTGAAAACCGCAGCTTTTTCTGACTCTATTCATGCGAATATAAGACATATTTAATTACTGGAAAGCTGGGCTTACACTTGGGCTGTTCTTGGATTCTTTCAAATATGAAGTGGATGGGTTTCTTGAATCATGTAACCCATTCAACTTTCAGATTAATATATTTACTGGGCTTTGGTAAATTCTCCTCCAGGTCCTGTTACTATTTCTACCAGTGGAAAATGTTGGTTCACCCAACATATTATTCATAACTAGGATCATGCCCGTGCGTTGCAATGGGAACAAAATAATTCCCGACCATCTCAGTGTTGGCCGAACAACGACCATAGTCGAGGTCAATCATACCCGTGCGTTGCAATGGGAACAAAATAATTTCTGCCAATGTCAATCATACATGTGCGTTGCAATGGAAACAAAATAATTTCCTACCACCTCATTGTTGGCCGAGCAGCGGCCGCAGTCGAGGTCAACAAACACCCAAGCTAACACTCCATCCACTGAGATGGGCCAGCAGGCATCGCCGTATCTGGATTCGATGATGGCAAAGGAATGCGGAGAATAGGTCATGGGCAATACAAAATTCATAATAAAACATTTATTCTAAAACAGTATCATACTAAGAACATTTTATTTCCTTGTGCAATAAATAATCTTAACATTTCATCTTCTTTGTAGTAAATAAAATCAAATACCTTAAACTCATTCTAAATTTAGAAGCTTTGATGACACTTCTATTTGATTCTGTTCAATAAGTTTGATGAGCTGAGACACATGTATCCTCATATTTCTAAGTAAATCAATTGATTTACTTTTACATGGCTTGTGCAGAAGCAAAACTCCTTTGTAGTCTTTGAAACAAAATCATTTAAGTGGTGCCACATCTAGCTAATGACCCATGCTTAGCTTAAAATTTGTGTCATTTTTGCCTACACATAAGGACCGAGATTCAGTCATGCCCCACCATTGTATTCACCTTGGACTTGCTGGCAAGCTGCCTCACTGGCATGTACAATATTCTCATCACCTAATCTAATTTCTGATCTGCTGGCTTCATTCTTTGAACTTCTGATTTAATCCCTGCAGTGTTAATCGGCATGCAGCTGATTTTCACGAGGAACATTCTGTAACGAATATCTAAGAATGGAGATGTTGAGGCATGTGCCCACGCAATGATCTGCTTGTACTTTGCCTGGAAATGAAACATGAAGATCCGAAAAAAAAAAGAATGGACAGTTCCAAGATGCTAACTGGCCTATAAAATCTGTAGCCTGGCAATCCCAACCCATAAGCATCGATGGTTTGGGGAATCCCTCAGTTTGAATAAATAGTCTAGGCACATAATATCTCAAATCCCAACCCATAAGCATTAATGGTTTGGGGACTCACCCGAGGGAGTGGATCGAGTAGGCTGCAGCTGCAACACAACACTCTAGAGCTGCTGCACAGGGAGTATTGATACTTCTGCAAAAACAACTCCAAGATCAGCGCTCCACCAAAAGCCGGCAGGATCGAGTTTGCAAGCCAATCTCAGGCGTTCCTTCGTTTCAACTGCACCTGTGACCCGCCCCTCATATGTCTTCCTCTACTCTCCCTCCGCCACAGCCATTGCGCTCATCCTCCTCAGCATCGTGCACATATGTGCTCATCAGGCCAAAGAGATCCATCTCTTTCACATCGGCCTGCAGTGCCTTGCGCGCCGGCGGCGGCCGGGAGGGGCGCAAGCGCTAGCGCCAATCAGCTTAAAACGAAGGAACAGCGGGGACACTCCTGCTCAGCGACTTGCCCGGTGCTGGGCGTTGGAGCCCCCCGGCCTCCACGGACCTGGCGGCCGCCGCAGGCGTGAGGAGCGAGGCGGCCGCGGGCGTGAGGAGCGGGGCCGGTGGATGAAATTGCGAGCGGAGATTAGGGACTTTCCTTTTTTTTTTCAGAGAAGAAGAGGTGCCGGGCAGAGCGCTCCGTAGGGGAGGCCAGACAAGGCCGGGCGGAGTCATCGCGCGGAGCGAGCGAAGCGAAGCCGGGGGACGATTGCTCTGGAAATGTTTTAGTTGCAGAGATAGAGATATCATGTCTGTTTTTGTTTCCTTCCATTTGATCTTTCAGTTCTCTACCAATTTGATTTTTAAAAAAAGTAAAAAAGAGGAAAAGGCATTTCTGATGAATTTTTCGCTCACTGAGTCACTGATGAGCTACTGCAATTTGTGTGTAAGAAGCTAAATCCTAAAACTAAACAGATCAGCATTCTGATTGTTCGCACTGCTACGCTAACAGAGAATATGCTTGCGCCAACAGGAATGGATGCTTATGGTTTATGAACAAATTAATCAGCTGATAACGACACTCTGGGTTAGACGGCGATGTGTTAGAAGAAAAATGGTGGTATGCAGATTGCAAAACGATGATACTAAACCACCCTTTTGTCGGACGCCTAAGCAACTGATGGTGGTTGGATCCGGTGGTTTCTCTGCTGCAGGTCGCTGCGCGGAGCTGGAAAGCACAGTACGGTACAGAACTGATGGTGGATGGATCGGACGCCTAAGCTAAGCAGCTGCTGTGGATCCATCATCTGTTTTGTTTGTTGGACTTGTTGCTTGTGGTCTGAGGTCTCTTATCTTTTCTTGGCTTACCTTACCTTGGAGTGTCAAGCAAATCCAAAATTAGGCAGCCATTCAACAAGTGGGGTCAAAATTGATGGTCAGCAGCTTAGCCTTTAAATGACATCTACATAGTTCCACAAGCCAAAGAAATCTCTCTGAGGAATGGCGACGGCGACGATGGCAAGGACGCTTCTCTGTCGCTCGCGCCTTCCGGCGTCCGTCTTCTCCGATGCGTGTACGTCCATGCAGGCACTACACTGCTCTAGCTTCCTCTCTTCACGCTGTTGTTCACGTTGTTGTTGTTTAGTTTGCAAAAAGTTTTGCAGAATATTTCATAGGAGTCATACGAAAAATGCGTGTGTGTGTGTGTCTGAAAACTCTGAAGATAAGATGCTTGGCAGACAAGCGTCCGAGCTGGGTGCCATCTTGCTTGTCTTCCTCTTCTTCTTCTCGTCCTAGCTCATGTGTAGTGCTGCCATTCCTTCCCTCGTCTGCAGTTTTTTCCTTGCACGTTGGACTAACTCCTGCTGGCTAGCACATATATTGTGCATTGTCCACCGATCTATATCCGCATCCATCCACCGAGAAGGAAGAAAACAAACAGCAACCAGTTGTGTAGTAGAGGAGCGAGCAACAATGGCGGCGGCAGCCAGCAATAGTAACAATAAGATCAAGACGGTGGTGGTGCTGGTGCAGGAGAACCGCTCCTTCGACCACATGCTGGGGTGGATGAAGACGCTGAACCCGGACATCGACGGCGTGACGGGCGGCGAGACCAACCACGTGGACGCGTCCGACCCGACCTCCCGCGCCGTCCGCTTCAGCGACGGCGCCGAGTACGTGGACCCGGACCCGGGCCACTCCATGCAGGCCATCTACGAGCAGGTGTACGGGACACCCTTCATCGACGCCGCCACAACGCCCATCACCCCGCCGGGCGTGCCAGCGCCGCCCATGACCGGCTTCGCGCAGCAGGCGGAGAAGGAGAAAGCCGGCATGTCCGGCACCGTCATGAGCGGGTTCCGCCCCGACGCCGTGCCCGTGTACCGCGAGCTGGTGAAGGAGTTCGCCGTGTGCGACCGGTGGTTCGCGTCGAACCCGGCGTCGACGCAGCCCAACCGGCTGTTCGTGCACTCCGCCACCTCCCGCGGCCTCGTCAGCAACGACACCAAGGCGCTGGTGGCGGGCCTCCCGCAGCGGACCATCTTCGACGCGCTCCACGACGAGGGCTTCTCCTTCGGCATCTACTACCAGTACCCGCCGTCGACGCTCTTCTACCGGAACCTCCGGCAGCTCAAGTACGCGGGCAGCTTCCACGCCTTGGACCTCGACTTCCGGCGTCACTGCCGGGAGGGAAAGCTGCCCAGCTACGTCGTCGTGGAGCAGCGCTACTTCGACCTGGAGATCCTCCCGGGGAACGACGACCACCCGTCCCATGACGTGGCCGAAGGCCAGCGGTTCGTCAAGGAGGTGTACGAGGCGCTGCGGTCGGGGCCGCAGTGGGAGGAGACGCTCCTCGTCGTCACCTACGACGAGCACGGCGGGTTCTACGACCACGTGCCCACGCCCGCCGGCGCCGGCGTCGTGCCTAGCCCCGACGGCATCGTCAGCGCCGCGCCTTTCTTCTTCAGCTTCGACCGCCTCGGCGTCCGCGTCCCGGCGCTGCTCGTGTCGCCGTGGATCGAGCCCGGGACTGTGCTGCATAGGCCGTCAGGGCCATACCCGACGTCGGAGTTCGAGCACTCCTCCATCCCGGCCACCGTCAAGAAGCTCTTCAACCTCAGGAGCTTCCTCACCAAGCGCGACGCCTGGGCCGGCACCTTCGACTGCTTCCTCACGCGCGACACGCCGCGCACCGACTGCCCACGTACGTCACTAGTAGTAGTAGCTAGTGTGTTGTGACAGACATGCATGACTGACACTGATACTGATGATGTGCGTGCGTGCATGCAGTTACCCTGCCTGAGCCAGTGAAGCTGCGGCGGACGGCGGCCGCGGAGCAAGCCCCGTTGTCGGAGTTCCAGGAGGAGCTGGTGCAGCTCGCCGCGGTGCTCAACGGCGACCACACCAAGGACTTGTACCCGCACAAGCTCGTGGAGGGGATGACGGTGGCGGAGGCGGCCAGGTACTGCGTCGACGCCTTCAAGGCCTTCCGCGACGAGTGCGAAAAATGCATGAAGCGCGGCGAGGACGGCTCCCACATCCCCACGGTGAAGCCGTCGTTGTCGGGGAAGGACAAGGACAAGAGCAAGAGCAGCTTCGTTTCCAAGGCGCTGGCTTGCCTCCCCTGTGCCCGTCCCTCGTGACCTCTCTGATGACTGATGATGCGTGCGTCCAGGCATCAGAAATTTCCATTCAGAATCGGCTGGTGAGTAAGCAGTTCCTGTTGTTCTTGCAGTTGCAGGCCGGGGAATAGGGAAGGAGGCTGATAAGCCGGGATGTAAAGTATTGTTGGCTGATTTGTTGTGTCGTTCGCTGAAAAAGTTACGGCTCATAAGACAAGCGAACAGGGTAGCCTGATTGATAAGTTCGTGTGCTTCTGAATTATACAGTGTGATACCTAAGTTGTGTAGATTGAATTGTGGTTATACGATTTGTATTCCCTTTCATTGATAAATATTCTGATGCATAATAGAAAGGGGGAGTAAATACAGAAACTTCAAAATTGAGTGGATACGAAAAGAGAAGCAGGGCAGTATTGTTCACCTAAACAATCATTTAGCTCACTTAAACACCATGTAAACGCTACAAAACGGTATGCCATTTCTGTTTAATCAACTATACCCCGTCTAATTGTCCGTTTATCCTGTTTAATTGACCATTTAGCCCGAATAATGGATAAATGACAGGTGACCGACTCCTTACTGTTTAGGAAAACACTGAAGGCATGTGAATAGATGGTGGAATGACAAAATCTTGCAGCAGATCCTTTGCTTCACAAGATTGCATGAACATAGCAAAACAGAATGTGGAACAGCAAAGCATTGGGAATTCGAGTGAGTACAATAAGAAAACAGATGGATAAGTAGAAATTTACTGAAAACGATGGAGGTGGTTCAAGTTAGGATTACAATGTTACAAGTGATATTACAGAGGCGGTCCCAGAGCAACAATCCTCTTGAGTAGCATGCAGTACAAGGCATTTGCGAGTCTTTTTTTTGTCGTTGTTGGGGAGGGAGTGGTTTTCTAGTGTAAACAGATAATGCTACTTTGTTCAGCTGGGAAATGTCAAACAAGTTGTCAAGAGGCTGAAAGTGGGATTGGTCTCACCGCACCCTCTATGCGACAGAATGCCGTCTTGATCCGCTCCTTCAGTGTAGCATTTTCACATTCAACATCACCACTCCTCCCATCCAAGTATGCCACATTTCCGTCTACAGATATGACAAATTTCCCATCCTCTGCAACTTTAACATCACCGAAAAGTGATACCATAAGAGCATACACCACCTTTTGAGCAACCTTTTCTGTCTCTTCTTTGGTCTTCGCTGCTTCTTCAACCGGAACAACTTTGGGACCTTCCCGACCGATGTTCAAGATCATAGCCACCACAGAATCAGACACCATGTCACTGATGGGATCGGATGACCACTGCAGTGTAACATAACTTTCTGAATCCAGGCGAACTGTCACTCTTTCATGCACGATCAATGCTGGAACATCAGATTCTTCTGTTGCTGACTCCACGCTCTCGTATATTTGCTTCAGTCTGTACCTTATGACTTCAAAAGAACCAGAGTAAGGGACTGCGATGCGCTGAGTGATGTTAGCTGTAGATAACTGTGTGAACACGCGGAGATCTTCAGGAGCCATAATCTGATATGTGAATCCCTTCTTCACAAGTAAGCCCCCAGAAAACTCTCCAACTTCTGGTACTTTTTCTGCCAGCCTGCCAATAGTCTTGGCCATTTTCTCACAAGTGAAATACATCTCCACTGATTGACAATTCTTGGGAGACACAATTTTCGTATTTGTACCATCAAACTGAGCAATAAGTTTCTGTTTAAGCCTTGACATTTCATTTGCTTCACCATGTACAAGAATAATATTGGGTGGTCGAAGCTCATCCAGAAAGTTGCTTGTCTGAGGGAAATCAGCATGAGCTGAAAAAGAGATGTAGTGGACCTGCATATGAAGAGGAGCAGTGAACCCATTAGCTAGCATCACTTCTTTTGGCTCATTGATAATGGTCTTTGCAAGGGTCCCCTCCACAACATAACCTGGAATAACACACACATTCTTCTTATCTGTGCACCACTTATCGAAAAGCTGCCTAGAGAGACCACTCTGAAGACCACTAGGACTAGCCATCACCACTGAAGGGCCGACGTCGTGAAAATTATCAATGCTATTCAAGGACTCGATGTGCTTGAAATGGAAGGGATTGGATTGTGCAAACTGGTTCCGTATCCTTTCATTCATGGAGTTTATGTATGTCTGGTAGACAGCCATGCACCTCTTGGCAAGAGGGGAAGCGTAATAGATAGGAATCTTATGGAGCTCTGGGTGTTTGGACCAATACTCATCGAGGATAAGTAACAGTTCTTGTGCTCTGCCAAGTGCAAATGCCGGGATAAGAACACGACCCCCCTGTGAAACAGTATTGTGAATGACCTCAGTAAAGCGCTTCTCACGTACAATCCGGGGTTGATGTTGCTGTACACCATAAGTTGACTCAATAATGCAAATGTCTGGGGAGAACTGTGGGAGCTCAGCAGCTCGTAGGTGGCGGTCTTCTTCACGGGAGTAGTCACCGGTGTAAAGAATGCGCACACCAGCAATATCCACCATGAACATGGCGGCACCAAGTACATGGCCAGCAGTGTAGCACCAGAAGCGTATCCCGTTAACTTCCAATGTCTGGTGGAAATCTATAACCTGCAAAGCACTTTTAGATTAACAAAAATAAGCATTCCCTGAATAAAGTAGCCTTCCGAACAGCACGAGCAGAATTCTGCATTTTCTTTAAAGAAGAAAAATAGATAACATTTGGGAGGGGGAGGGGGGAGGATGAGAATATATTGTATATTTTACTAAGCAATGTATCATAAGCAGAACCCATTATGATGGTTGTAAGAGGAAGTAAAAAATTTATCTGTCATCAAGTCACTCAATCTAAATCCGTGGAGGATATGCAACACCCTGTTTCCTGTTGTGGAAAGAGAAGCACCTAAAAAGTAATGTTGTAATATACCTCAATCTTCTCCATGGACCGAGCAATGTCACTCTCATCATACAGCATATCCTCCACGGACACTTTGCTGACTTTGACATAATCCGAAAGCAGCAGCTTGTAAATAGCCTTTGTGGCATGGGTCATAAACACCCGGCCCTTGAATGTAGTCTGCAGAAATTACTCCCAAATTTCAGGCAACAAATAGCATCAAAATGACAATTTCGCAGCACCACCAGTGCAAATTCACAGGCATTACCTTCTCCAAGAAGTATGGCAGTGAGGCAGCATGGTCCAGGTGAAAGCTGAAATGTTTAATTGAGTAAAGTCCACAGGCAGTCCTTAAACTTGTGCCATTGTGTCATCCCAGTCCTTGTACTCTCAAAATGCATTTTTTATGTCCCTAATCATTGTTTGGGTCTCAAAGCTGGTCCAAACAGGTCTGGACTCTCCACCCACGGCCGTGGGTGGACATGGCCATGGCTGGACCTGGACTGGACTTCTAAAACCGCACCACGCTCAAAAACCATCATCACCCCACTCATCATCCGCCACCTCTCCGCCTCCATAGCATCTATCAATGGCATCGCCCACCACTTTGAGCTCCCCAATGGACACACGGTCAAGGAGGGCGGACAAGGCCGCCAGTGTGCATGACGTATTGTAGACGGACTCTCCCTGGAACGTCACCAAGAAGCTCTACATCATGGATGTGGCCACCACCGCTGTGGTGGTGGGTGATGTGGAGTGCTAAGATAGCAAGCGGCACCGAGACCAGCATGCCCAAGCTCGAAGCGTCCGCATGGTCCAGCAACTCGACCATACCCGCAATGCCTGGCTCAACGCGACGAGGAGCAAGGAATGTGGTGACCTAGACCCAAATTGGTCTTTACTGTGTGACGCAAGGCCCAAATTGACCGTGGAAGACAATGGTGCCTTAACTGCAACAGAGGGCAGGATCCACAGAGCAGCTTCTAACCTCCCACCAATAGCACTTCGCTCACGTCTGCCTCCACCTAAATGGGTCAGTGACTGCCAAATCCATCTACACCCCTATGTGCGGGCTCTCTCCCATGATCTCATGGTGTCACTTGCCGCCAGAGGTCCTACTCAACAGGATCCATGCGTGCCCATGGCCCGCAAGTGTCGACGCCACCGATCCAGTGGCTGCCATGGGCTTGACTCTTTGAATGCAAGCATGAACACAGGAGAAGGAGAAGTGACTGGTGCTAATCCCAGAAAGGAGTGCTTGTGTTCAGTCTTTGGGTTCTGTCTTTTTGTTCGTTTCTGTTAGAGGGACTGACGTAATAGGTCGTTGTCTTTGCCCTGAGGGCATGTAATAAGTTGTACAAGATGTGGCTCTTGAGATGATACTCATGCTGCGCTCGCGGTAGACAGGCTTGTCACCTGAATCAGGTAGATTAGTCATAGTCTAAGCGTAGTTGCTTCTTTGCTCCTTTCTGTTTCTGTGTGACAAACTCTGGAATTTCCATTCATGTATTGGAAATGGGGTCCTCCTCAATTCTTAAAAATGAACATAGGAGAACAACGAGAGGTAATGGCAAATTTGTTCGTCCATGGTGGCAAGGCCATGTTAGCCGGCTGCTCATGTCGATACCTGATAGGACCATAGTGATACCCAAACAGAGTTTATGTGTATTGTCATTCTACATTTTAAGAGTTCAGGACTGGGATGACATAGGCAGACAAGTTTAAGGACCGGTTGCGCACTTCACTTTTTCTTTTAATTTCGCAAATTAGGCAAGTAGAGAGGCAGGGGGTATCGTATCAATCAAATCAAAAGAGAAACGAGATTACTGTGTGATGAGAAGGACGTCTATGGTGGACGGATCGATCTCGTCGAAGTAGGGCAGCGCCGCCATGCCGGAGTACGCCGGGTGGATACCGCAGTCGAACTAGCGGCATCACAAAGAGAGTAGCAATCATCAGCTGCAGTAATGGCGAATCCAAAACAGGTAGGGTTTGCAAGGGGAGGGAGGATAATGAAGGAGGTGCTTACGAGGACGGTGCGGCCTTTGAAGGTCATGTGGACGCAGGAGCGGCCGACCTCGCTGCCGGCGCCGAGCGGCGTGATGACCATCTGGTCTCCCTCCCGTCCGCTGGAGGCCGGGCGCTTCCCCGCCGGTGGCACGCCGCTCGGCGCCGCGGCGGATGACGCCATGGGTTTCACCTTTCTTTTCGTTTCTTTCTGATTTTTTCCCACTGATTTTTTCCCCGCCAGTGACGGCAGCACTTGACAAAATACGACTCATTTTTTTCCGAGTGGCAGTAGCACTGGACAATATATATACTACTGAGAGTACTCAACTACTCAACGATAACCTAGCCCCCTTAGCTTAACTTACCGCCCAGCGAAATAATAGTATTTTTCTTCCACAACAAATTAGCATCAGCATCGGTTGTTTTTTCAGCTAGCCAAACATGCCCCTAAAATCCGAACCCAGCGACCCTATGTGCCCGTCCACGTGCCCTGATGCTCGCTGCACCATTTCCTCCCTATATCACCGTGCCTATTCGCACACCCCACTCCGTCTCGCCGCCGTCGGTCCCCCGCAGCGCCACGGCTCATCATCCCCTGTGGCCTCCTCCGTGCTGCCTCATTCGCGTTGCATTCCCCGTCAGACCCGGTATGTCCTGCCTGCTCACCACGCCAACCCGCTATCTACAACCGCCTCCACCGAGCTGTCGAGCCACGGCCGCCTCCACCGAGCCGGCAAGCCTCCACGACGGATGCTCCAGTAAGCACGCAAGGGGGACGAGATTCGTGTGACGCCGCGCCCATCGGCGAGTTGTCTGTGCCGCTGCCGCACAACGAGGTCCATATGCCGCCATCGACCTCTGCGCCGGCGTGCCTCCATTCGTCCAAGCAAAGCCCATGTTGCAAGAATATGTTTCAAGTGTTTCAGATGTTTCATCTAGATGTTGCAAGTGTTTCATCTTGATGTTGTAAAAGTAGATCAGAATGTTGCACATGTTGCAAAGTCTATACACGTATTTCAAGTGTATGTTCCAAATGCTTAGTCTCATTTTCCAGACATATGTTTGCAAGTGTTTTTATCTGGATGTTGCATATGTTTTTCTACATATGAAGTGTTTTCAGGTGTTTTGCAACTGTTTCATATGCATGTTTCAAGTGTTTCACCTGTTTCGTACGTATGTTGCAAGTGTTTTATCTAGATGTTTCAAAAGTAGATGTGATGTTGCAGCTAGTGTTTCAGATGTATGTTTCATGTGTTTCATCTGCCTTCAGACATATGCTAGTTTTCCATCCGGATGTTTCAAAAGTAGATCGGGCATTGTATCTATTTCTTCACTTTTCTGCTGCCTCACCTTCGCCTCGGTGTCTCCTCCTCCTCCTCCCGGCGCCGGTTGGGCATCCGCCACCCCTTCCCTCTCTTCTGTATGCTGACGTAGCCACCTGCGTAGTCACCTGCTGCAACTGCTGGCCGGTGCATGCGCATGAGAAGTGGAGGGGCATGAGTAGGGAATCCACACGCTCAGTTGGGCGGCGCGGGATGCAGGTACGCAGGGGAAGACAAAGTGCAAGCGCGGGTGTCTGTTTGGACATCCGGACGCTAGCATTGCCGAATACTCAAACAGTTCCGAATTACAAGACATTTTGATTTTCTAGATGCATATATATTTTAGTGTGCACTTAAGCATACACTATGTCTAGATAGATAGTAACAACAATGTATTAGAAAAGTCAAAAAGTTTTAAAATTTAGAATAGAGTTAAAGAAAATATTGTCCGAAAAAAATCAGACTGCAATGACAGTAGCAGAAAATATTCATCGAAAAAAATAGACCTCATAGTACTCAGGACCTCAGGCCATAGCCTATACAGTAGAAGAAAGAAAAGCAAGACCATATTCAACCTCCGGTCATTAAGCCTTCCTCGCTGATAATTACAGTTACAACCTCTGGTCATAAAAATAAGATGCTTTTCCTTGGTGATGATTACTGTCTCCGATAAAAAAATACGATAATGATACGGCACGGCCGTCCGTCCCGTGACTTCCTGGCTCATCCTCATCCACTCGTCCGCGTCGCTCACGTGACTTCCCTTCCGGACCTCGTGACTCATCCTCATCCACACGACGGCGTTGCTCACGCCGCTGTGTTGTGCACCCCCGCTCGTGGTCGCAGGATGAATTTCTGCCCGCGCTGCTCATCGGCGCCGCCCCCGCTCGAGCCACGCGTACTCACGCCTCCCGTCGTGGCTGCGCTCCATCCACCTGCCGCGGCCACTGCCGAGGTCCGTACCGGCGACGAGCTCCGCATCGGCAACCTCTGCGCACTCCATGCCATCGAGCTCTGCGCTAGTGTCGAGCTCCGCAACGATGAGCTCCATTTGTCCAAGCAGCAAGGTGACATTACGCTTGCACTAAAAGCGCATGTTGTCGGCGTATGTTTCAAGTGTTTCATATGTCTTAGAGATATGTTGTAAGGGTTTCATATGGATGATGTAAAAGTAGATTGGGATGTTGCATATGCTGCAATGGTTGTACACGTATGTTAGAAACATCTGCTCCCAATGTTTCATTTATTTTTTCAGATGTACGTTGCAAGTGTATGTTTATGTGGATGTTGCATATGTTTTACACATATGTTGGAAGCGTTTTATCTGGATGGTGCGTATGTGTTGCAATTATTTTCAAGTGTTTTTGCAAGTGTTCATGTTTTAAATGTTTCATCTGTCTTCAGACATATATTGCGAGTATTGTATCTAGATGTTTCAAAAGTAGATCGGGTGTTGCATCTCCCTTCTCGCTTTCTGCTACCTCGCCTTGGTGTCTCCTCGCCTTCTGCTGCCTTGCATTCTTCTCAGACTGCGGAGGGGGTGCAACGAGGGCCGGCGGACAGGACGCGCCAAGGGATTGCGATGCGGACGCGCCCCTTCCGTTAGGCGGGCATGTAGCGCTTTAGTCCCCTTTATTTTTCTATTTTACAAGGGATGCTGAGCCTGTTAGTGGACCACGACGCCAGCCCATAGTTCGATTGCTGGGGCTGGAAGATGCGTTCGGACGCGCTACGGACGCCGGACGTCCGGGCGCTAGTGCCCCCGAAAAAAAAAGATGAAAAGATGATAGGTTGATTTTTTTATATGTATTCTCGTCTGCATAAAAATTTACAGTGCAAAACCTTATGGTATCCCCATCTGTTGCAAGCCAGCCTCGGTGATATACCCGATGCCACATTTCTACAGCCTATTCATTTGGCCGTGGCTTGTCGTAAACGATCGTAAATTTCCAACCGAAACAGTATTTTTCTCTCACACAAACCAGTCAGCCGTACTTCTTCACGAACCAGCAACGAAACGAACCAGCCAACCGCAGGCTGCTAACAACCAACAACCACTTCAGAAGATTGATGAAACATGTCGAAACGGAACTTGGAACACCACACCGAAGTATTTCAAATTTGGGTATAAAAAGGAAACAGGACAGATAAGTCGAACTTTAATGAAAATGAGTTAGTTCATGTTACAATGTTACAACTGGCGTTTCAGTGCCAATCCCAGAGCAACGATCCTCTTGAGTAGCTTGCAGTACAACGCAATTGGGCATTCTTTTCGCAAAAGAACTGCTATCCTAGTCCAGACAGATAATCTTACTTTGAAAAACTGGGAAATGTCAAGCAAGTTTAAACATTGCCCTCCGATCAAGAGGCTGAAAGTGGGATTGGTCTCACGGCGCTCTGTATGCGACGGAATGCAGTCTTGATCCGTTCCTTCAGTGTAGCATTTTCACATTCAACATCGCCACTCATCCCATCCAAGTGTGCCACATTTCCGTCTACAGATATGACAAATTTCCCATCCTCTGCAACTTTAACATCACCGAAAAGTGATACCATAAGAGCATACACCACCTTTTGAGCAACCTTTTCCGTCTCTTCTTTGGTCTTCACTGCTTCTTCAACCGGAACTACTTTTGGACCTTCACGACCAATGTTCAAGATCATAGCCACCACAGAATCAGACACCATGTCACTGATGGGATCAGATGACCACTGCAGTGTAACATAACTTTCTGAATCTAGACGAACTGTCACCCTTTCATGCACAATCAATGCTGGAACATCAGATTCTTCTGTTGCTGACTCCACGCTCTCATATATTTGCTTCAGTCTGTACTTTATGACTTCAAAAGAACCAGAATAAGGGACTGCAATGCGCTGAGTGATGTTAGCTGTTGATAACTGTGTGAAGACACGGAGATCTTCAGGCGCCATAATCTGATATGTGAATCCCTTCTTGACAAGTAAGCCACCGGAAGACTCTCCACCTTCTGGTACTTTTTCTGCCAGCCTACCAATAGTCTTGGCCATTTTCTCACAAGTGAAATACATCTCTACTGATTGGCAATTCTTGGGAGACACAATTTTCGTATTTGTACCATCAAACTGAGTAATAAGTTTCTGTTTAAGCCTTGACATTTCATTTGCTTCTCCATGCACAAGAATAATATTTGGTGGCCGAAGTTCATCCAAAAAATTGCTTGTCTGAGGGAAATCTGCGTGAGCTGAAAAAGAGATATAGTGAACCGACATATGAAGAGGAGCAGTGAGCCCATTAGCTAGTGTCACTTCTCTTGGCTCGTTAATAATGGTCTTTGCAAGGGTTCCCTCCACAACATAACCTGGAATAACACAGGCATTCTTCTTATCTGTGCACCACTTATCAAAAAGCTGCCTAGAGAGACCACTCTGAAGACCACCTGGACTAGCCATCACCACTGAAGGACCCACATCATGAAAATTATCAATGCTATTCAAGGACTCGATGTGCTTGAAATGGAAGGGATTGGATTGTGCAAACTGGTTCCGTATCCTTTCATTCATGGAGTTTATGTATGTCTGGTAGACAGCCATGCACCTCTTGGCAAGAGGGGAAGCGTAATAGATAGGAATCTTATGGAGCTCTGGGTGTTTGGACCAATACTCATCGAGGATAAGTAACAGTTCTTGTGCTCTGCCAAGTGCAAATGCCGGGATAAGAACACGACCCCCCTGTGAAACAGTATTGTGAATAACCTCAGTAAAGCGCTTCTCACGAACAATCCGGGGTTGATGTTGCTGTACACCATAGGTCGACTCGATAATGCAAATGTCTGGGGAGAACTGTGGGAGCTCAGCAGCTCGTAGGTGGCGGTCTTCT